ATATATTTTTTCTAGGTTTTCATTAGATTCTAAGACGATGTAGCCATGTCCCCCAGTCTGTCTGTTGAAACAGTTTTTAAGAACCGAAAGCTTTATCTAATTTATGTCGATTGGTCCACAATCGATCCTATTACAGCCATATAGCCCCTTTTACGGAAAATAATTTTATTATCAATAAATAACAAATTAGTTAACCGTAGTATAATAAAAGGATTTATCCATAAAGTCCTCAATTTGTACGATAGATTCTGATGGTGGATATACATATATGATTCGTCATAGTCTATTAATACTATTATTATTTTCTCGGGAATGATTTTGGTACAAATTTTGTCGAAAACAGCAATTATGTATTTCATAACTATATAATACCAAAGTATTTGGACATTTTGTCTAATTACGTAAAAGTAAACTATTGATTCTTTGGAACAAATCATTGTATGATATTACATATTAGTTTTAAAAATAATGGAACTCTAAACACAAGCAAAAAATTTGGTAGTTTTTGGAACGTTTTGGTAGTTTTTTGTCGGAACTTTGGTAAGAAAAATAAATTGTGAGTGGCAACGCTGATTAGGACACACATATTTTCTTCAGAAATCATAGCAAACAACAACAATATACTCTCCCACTCTCTTATAAGCAAGATAAAAAGGGAATCAGTGTTGCCAACTTAGTGCTTTTAGCACTATTTGCGGTGCTTTTTGATGTGACAAACACGGACAATTTTTATCATGGTGCCATTTTTCAAAAAGGCACTATAGTGGTGCCTTTTTGAGTCCATTTAATGCTTTTTATAATATTTTCAATCTTTTTGTTTGATCAGTTTAATAGTCCATACTAAGGGAATAAATTTCACTTAAAAAAGTGTTTTAAATTTTAGAAACCTAACATAACTCTTTGACGTAAATGGGACACTGTTGTTCATATTTTTTGCATTTATTTCAAGTTTACAGCAACATTAACTAGCTAGCTTTTAACAAACTAGGTTCTAATGTGAAATTAAACTTTTTTCAAGAACTTGAAAAATATTAATATGCTTATATTTTTAAACATCAGGCCAGATTTATTTATATGAACGGTAAATTTTGACCGGTTTGAAGTGATTTTGTTTAAAGATATATAGATTTTGCAAAAAAAGTATTTCATAAGTTTTGTACAATTTTACAATTTGACATTTTACTATTTTTAAAATAACTTTTAAACAAATTAAGAGATTTTTAATTTGAATAACATAGAACGCAAAACCATTGGAAATAAAAGGAAGGGCATAAAAATGTGGAATATTGCTTGCAATTGCCGTTCATTTGAATATTTTGAAGTTTTTTCTTTTCAGTTCTTTTATGTTTGGAAAAAAGGAAGAAAATTGACAGCACTCCCTACTGATTCTACCTATTAACTATTAACTAACCGAAAATAATCGACATATTATAAATTTGATAAATCTATATGAAATACTTTAGTATAAAGCATGTTTTGTAGCCCTTAGTTAAAAAAAAAAAAAGTTTGGAATATGCCAGTCTTGTAGTACATGAGCAATGTGATGTGCAATTTTTATTAAAATAAACATTATTTTACCAAAAAAAAAAACCGTAGTGCTTTTTTTACCCCTTTTCAGTTCGAAAATAACGCTTTTTACCCCTTTTTAATTTATTCGTGCGTTTTGCGTTTTGCTTGTCCATTGTTGTCAGCACTGAAGGGAATGCAAAATCCAAGTGCTCTGCCAAAAACATAAGTAACAAAACAAAAGTAGTAAAGGTTATAATACTAAACCATTTAGGTAAAAATCATTTTATAACTGTTATTCTGAGTGATTTATTAAAAAAAAAAACCAAAATAAATCACAATTCAATCACTTTGGTTATGTGGCCCAGTTATTTTCAGTCTCTGTATTAGGATTAAACAATACTGTTTCATATTTAATACATATTTATATTGTGATTAACTGAAAAAGTTATTTTAAGGACCACTTTATATAATGAAACCCATTTGAAATATATACCGGCGGAGCCTGGCTTCTCCGTTATGAACAAATTTTGACATCTATTAACTGTTAACAAATTAATATATTTTCATTTTTACACTATAAATATAACCTGATTAACTAAAAAATCCGATCCGGAACACTTTATATACCAAAATCCATGATGTACTTACCCGGCCAAAATTTGAAAATTACTCCGCAGGAGTAGAATTTTCCATTTGTAACAAAGATTCCATCATTTGGAATATATTTAATTTGTTCATTAATTTTTCATTGTTATGTTTATTTTTTTACAAACAAATTAATTTTACATAATTTCAGGGCAAACTTACGTTTTGTAAATGAATCTACCAGAACAGAATTTTTCATTTGAAACAAACATTATTCTATTTATAATATATTTTCTTCACAAATTTTTATGTTTTTATGTTTATTTTTATAAAAAAATAAAAATTTTACTAAAAATGTTCATTAAACGAATTTGCCGTACTTACAGTTTTTGACATCAGTGCGTACCAAATGCAAAAAAGGCCCATTTTGAAAAAAAAAAAAAAAATTAAATTTTAAAAATCAAAAAAATATTTTTGGAAAAAATTAAGAAACAGCTATTTGAACTCCATTGGACAATTTTTTCTAGGACCAATAGGTGAAAAGTTACACTCATTTGAATGAGTGTAACAACTTTGACCCCCTCTAAGTCTGGCCTACTATCACATAGTACTAACTTTGGTGCCCAAATCGATCCAAATCGGAAGACATCGATTTTAAAAGTTGGGTTACTTGACACGAAATTCCCCTTTTTTTTGTAGGAAATAAAAGAGATTTCAGATTAAACTTGTTTTTCTCTATCTTACATACATAGGTATATAGTTTCCACGAAAAATGGACTTGTATGTTTTCCTTCAAAAAGTTAGTTCTTAGTGGAAAACAAGTAAGAAGTCTATACTCGCCTTTGCTGACTTTTATGTACCCTTCACCATAGTGTATTTAAACAAATTAAATACCCTCCACCTGTAAGCTTTTTGAAACCCATCTAAATAGTTTTAAATTTTCAATAAATTGTGAAAATTTAAATTTTGCTTCCATTTCGAAATTATTTAGCAGTTGTTTATACATCTATGGAACTAACTTTGATCAAGTCTATAACTTGTTTATGGACCTGTTATTGAAGATATGGACATGATTTACCGATACACATAATATACTATATAGGATTTTATAGGATACTTGTATGTTAATGAATTATATGGGGTAAAGTGACTTAAGGAAATGGATCTTATATGAGAGCTTTGACCAATTATGGGTCTGATATTAAAATTTTTCAGAATGATGAATTTTATACTTCATTCAGTAATGAAATATGTGCGTTTAAGTGGTTACCGGTAATAGGCTATGGAGTGATATACATATAGGAGGAGCTATGGAGTGATATACATATAGTATACACAAAACATATTTATGTTGAATGTTATTCCAATATTTATATTTTTACACCCTCCACCACCATCAGTGGTGATAGAGGGTATATATAAGTTTGTCATTCCGTGTGTAACACCAATATATATTAATCTGAGACCCAACAAAGTATATATGTATATTCCGGGTCCTTATCAAATTCTTAGTCTATTTAGCTATGTCCGTCTGTCTGTATTGAAAATGAGTTTGGTATTAAAAATGAGTGAAATCGGTTTACATCGGAAAGAGTTATGAAACAAAATTTAAAAAATAAGCTTTTTGTTTCTATGTATATGAAAGCTTGATTCCTGTTAAAAATGGGCGAAATCGGTCCACAATTTCATACACCTCCCATACAAATGTCCTTATTCCCGGAAAATGCATTAATTGTTAATAACTTCCGGGAGAATGACAATATATTTACAAAATTTTACAAATAAAAGTTTTTTACTTGTCAATGAAATACGCGCGTTATAGTGATTTTCGGAAATGAGTCTTATATGGAGCTATGACCAATTGTGAACTGTTTATATTTTCGTTCAAATAAAACGTGTATGCCAAATTTCATACAATTATCTTGAAAATTGCGACCTGTACCTTGCGCACAAGGTTTACATGGACAGCCAGCCAAACGGACGGACATAGCTTAATCGACTCAGAACGATTCTAAGCCGATTGGTATACTTTAAGGTGGGTCTAGGACGAATATTTTTGTATGTTACAAACATCAGCACAAATCCAATATACCCTCCCTTATTTATCAAAGCATGCAAAAAATGTTCTTTTTTGTGTGAAATTTTCAGAGATTGTCTCGGATTTTTGCTTATTTAAGGACGGATTTTGCTGATTTTAAATAGGTAACTTCTCGAAAGCATGTTTGGCAGAATTATTGAAGATTTGGATCCCGAATATATATGAGGTCTTCAGAAAACTGATTTCAACAAATCACAGGCGGACATTGCTTAGTGGACTCCTCTATCTATAAGGATTCAGAATATACATATATACTTTATACGGTCGGAAAATTATATTTTTGAAATTACAAACGGAATGACAATCTTATATATACCCTTCTACCGAAGGTGAAGGGTATAATAATAATGAACATAGATTTTGTATGTATGTATGTATGTATGTATGTATGTATGTATGTATGTATGTATGTATGTATGTATGTATGTATGTATGTATGTATGTATGTATGTATGTATGTATGTATGTATGTATGTCTGTATGTATGTATGTATGTATGTATGTATGTATGTATGTATGTATGTATGTATGTATGTATGTATGTATGTATGTATGTATGTATGTATGTATGTATGTATTTCTATAAATTCCGGGATTCCCGGGAAATTAATTTTTTCATTTCCGTTTCCAAGGAAATTGAAAAGTCCGGGAATTCCCAAACTTCAGATATGTTTGAAACGGTTTTATTTTAAAAACTTTTGATGTCATTTGAGGCCGAAAATTGTTGCCAAAATTATAATATTAATTGCAATTGACTTTCATTGGTGGTATGTACTTCTAACTTTATTCTTTTTTCATTTGTTTTTAGGTTTCGTGTTTTTTGTCATAAGTTGTGTAACCACAGCAATTTTGGTAATTTCATACTGTGCTGCATTATGTTTTCATCGGCCATGTTAGCTGCGGAAAATCCCTTAAAAGCAGACGCAAGTAGGAACCTTGTAAGTATATTTCAATGAAAAGTTGTTCTTAGGAAATTAAATAAAATTTGCAAAAGACCGCGGACTGTGGGTCAGATTCAGGCCTGCCAGATTTTCCGATTTATCCGCATTTTGCCGATATTTCACCCTAAAAATAGTAAAGTGCCGATTTCCCGATTTTTGCTTTTAAAAATGACGATTTTTTTACCCAAATCAAAAATATTGTAATTTCGCTATATTTTTTTATTTTTTTGCAATTCTAAAGAATTTATTGTCAAAACTAAACTTCGGAAAAGCAAAAATGACATGGAGCTTTTAAAATAATTGGGAAAAGAAACTTTAAATTACAGTAAAACGCAATTTGCTACATCAGAAATGTCAATTGGATCGAGATGTACTTATGTATATTATGAAAAGGAAACACAATTTATTTTACACATTGTGTGTGTAAGTTATTTTCTGTGTTTATTAGACTAATAATATTAGTCTATTCTTTTACTCAATTCTTTATTAACAAGTTACTTTATAGTGCTATTTGAAATGGTTTTAAAAAAAGCTGTAAAAAACAATATTTTTTCGAAAAACGTCTAATATCGATTACGATTAGAACCTCTAACTAATTCCTAATTAGACATACGCTCTAGACAGTTGGTTATAAATCCTATTGAAAAAAAATTTATTATAACGACCTCTCATTGCCAAGTAATAAAAATTTTAATTTAAAAATTTTGCCATAAATTGGTCAAGACATAAGACATCGTTTTTCAATTCCAATAAATAACATATTTTTAAAAGTCATAATTTTTTTAATATTTAGAATTTCACAAAGGTCTACAAACGATGGATGTAACTGTTTGATGAAAAACAAGTAAGAGTGCTATATTCAGCTGTGCAGAATCTTATATACCCTTCACCATAGTGTATTAAAAAAAAAAAATATCAATTTTATAAAATTTTAATTTATTTCATTTTCCCGACTATATCATTATTATAGCAATAGCAAAACATAATCAACAACAACAACGCTAAACGAAATAAACACGCAAAAAACAAAATACACAAGGCAGGCAAACAAGCAGACATCCAAACATACAATATTAAATACACCAAGAAAACAAAAACAATATACACAAGTCAATGAAACACGCAGCCATCCAAACATACGAAACGAAATAATAAAAAACAAGTAAGAGTACTATATTCGGCTGTGCCGAATAATGAAAAACATAATGAACAACAACAACGCTAAACGAAATAAACACACAAAAACAAAATACACAAGGCAGTAAAACCAACAGACATCCAAACATACGAAACGAAATACAGAAAAAAAACAAAAACAAAATACACAACGCAATGAAACCAACAGACATCCAAACATACGAAATTCAATACACCAAGAACACAAAAAACAATATACACAAGGCAATGAAACACACAGCCATCCAAACATACGAAATTGAATGTACCAAGAAACAAAAACTATACACAAGGCAATGAAACCAGGCCTGCCAGATTTGCCGATTTATCGGTATTTTTGCCGATATTTTACCTCAAAATAGTTAAAGTGCCGATTTCCCGATTTTTGCTTAAAAAATGCCGATTTTTTACCCAATCGAACAATTAACGAATTTATTATAACTTTACATAAGCAAAAATTACATGGAGCTTTTAAAACAATTGGGAAAGGAAAATTTACAGTACGGTAGAACACAATTTGCTCCATCACCAATGTCAATTGGATCGATTATGAAAAGGAAACACAATTTATGTATGAAAATCCTGAATAGGTTCTAAAAGTCTGATCTAAGGGTGCTAAAATTTTTAAGAAATTTTTTATGGTTCGAAAATAAATTTACACATTTTTGTGGAAAAGTTAAAAAATTTGGAGAAAATTTCCCATTATAAAAATGTACTCAGCAAAATCTTTACCTATCCGATTTTTGTTAGACGATAACCAATAACAAATGTGATAACCCCACTTTCCTGGATTTAAAATCGGCTTTGCAGTAATTTTCTGTGTTTATTAGTCTATTCTATTTGATCGTGCAATTTGGAATTTAAAAAACAATATTTTTTCAAAAAACTTCTAATATTGACTAGGATTAGAACCATTAAATAATTCCATATTAGACACACGCTCTAGACAATTGGTTACAAATCCTATTGTAAAAATTAATTAATATTGTTGATAACGATCACTCACTGTCAAGTGATGTGTGAAATAACTACATCATGTATGATGTATGAAATAACAAAATTTGAATATTTTTTACAGGGTAAATATATAGTAATCCACAAATAATTATACATTTACATTTTCTGCAAAAGTGATACAAATTCTAATAGATTTTATTCCAGTAAACCAAGGTTTCGGTGTACCCTTACAAAGAGTTCTTTTATTAGACCTATTCTGAATAAAATTCCCTGAGTTATGCATGTATGTAAAAACAATATGTGATTTTTGAATTTATTTGTGTTATGTTTCTTTGGTACAAAATAGTGTTTCTTTCAATTGTCGATTTATTGCCGATTTTTAAAACGTAAGTGCCGATAAATGCCGATTTTTTGGGAAAAAAATTGCCGATATTTCTACAAATTTATCTGGCAGCCCTGAATGAAACACACAGCCATCCAAACATACGAAACGAAATACTCAAAAAAACAAAATACAAAGGCAATGAATAAGCAGTGTTGTTGTTGTTATTTTTAATGAAATTTTCAGAGGTTGTCTCGGATTTTTGCTTATATCTCCGTTGTTTATGAACGTATTTTGCTGATTTTAAATAGGAAACTTCTCGAAAGCATGTCCACAGGGTATACAGAGGCGTCACGAGCAAAAAACTATTTCCCTCTCTTTCGCACAAAACGATTTCAATGATTTTTTTAGCTGTATTTTATATACCTCTTCTCACCAAACAATTTCAAAATCAAACAAAAGCTGATTTTAGACTTTTTTAAATGTCAAAAGTGACACCTCTGTATACTTTGTGGCATGTCTGTTAGAATTATTGAAGTTTTGGATCCCGAAGATATCTGGGGTCTTCAGAAAACTGATTTCAACAGACAGACGGACATGGCTTAATCGACTCCGCTATCTATAAGGATTCAGAATATATATACTTTATGGGGTCGGAAAATTATATTTTGGAAATTACAAACGGAATGACAAACTTATATATACCCTTCTCACGAAGGTGAAGGGTATAAAAACAAAATACACAACGCGATGAATAAGCAGTGTTGTTGTTGCTTATTTTTTATGAAATTTTCAGAGGTTGCCTCGGATTTTTGCTTATATCTCCGTGTTTAGGGACGGATTTTGCTGATTTTAAATAGGGAACTTCTCGAAAGCATGTCTAAAAGAATAATTGAAGATTTGGATCCCGAAGGTATCTGGGGTCTTCAGAAAACTGATTTCAACAGACAGACAACGCAATGAATTAGCAGTGTTGTTGTTGCTTATTTTTTATGAAATTTTCAGAGGTTTGTCTCGGATTTTTGCTTATATGAAACTTCTCTATAGCATGTCTGATAGAATTATTGAAGATTTGGATCCCGAAGATATCTGGGGTCTTCAAAAAACTGTAACAGACAGAAAGACACGGCTTAATCGACTCCGCTATTTTAAGGATCAGAATATATATACTTTATAGGGTCGGAAAATTATATTTTGGAAATTACAAACGGAATGACTTCACCTTCGTGAGAAGGGTATATATAAGTTTGTCATTCCGTTTATAATTTCAAAAATATAGTTTTATGACCCTATAAAGTATATATATTCTGAATCCTTATAGATAGCGGAGTCGAATAAGCCATGTCGTCTGTCTGTCTGTTGAAATCAGTTTTTTGAAGACCCCAGATGTCTTCGGGATCCAAATCTTCAATAATTCTATCAGACATGCTTTCGAGAAGTTTCCTATTTAAACAAAATCCGTTCATAAACAACGGAGATATAAGCAAAAATCCGAGTATTTCGTTTCGTATGTTTGGATGACTGCGTGTTTCATTGCCTTGTGTATATTGTTTTTGTTTTCTTGGTGTATTTATATCGTATGTTTGGATGTCTGTTGGTTTCATTGCGTTGAGTATTTTGTTTTTTCTGTATTTCCTATCGTATGTTTGGATGTCTGCTGGTTTGCCTGCCTTGGTATTTTGTGCCGAATATAGCACTCTTACTTGTTTTTTATATTTCGTTTCGTATGTTTGGATGGCTGTGTGTTTCGTTGCCATGTGTATGTTGTTTCGGTTTCTTGGTGTATTCAGTTCCGCCCCTGCCAGCAACTCAACTAACTTTAAATGCATTAAAAGCCGACTTTTTCATCAACTAGTTATGGTGATCATTGGATTATTTTTAATGGAGCCAACTGACTAGTTTAACATGGCGAGTCTACGCAGTAGCCAATTGTCCGACTCTGCATGACTTTTCAACTAACTTAAAGTTAGTTACAAAAAGATTAGCTTAAAGTTAACTGTTTATTAATTAACTTTAAGTTTGTTGCAGAAAAGTCAACTAATAGTTTTCTCTTGTATTACCTACTGTATTAATTACATTTTAATTAAATATATGTAAAATTTATTTACATTAACTAAATACATTTAAAATTTATTTAACTATTCGCTTTAATAAATATTCTTTAAAATCATTTTTTTTTCTTTTTGATAATTATGCAAAACATTTTAAAGCAGAAACATCTGAATGAAATAAGTTGAAAGAGTTTTGAAATATTTAACCTTTTATAATTCATATTTCCAATTTACTGACCCTAATTTCACAATGTATACAAGAAAATGACAAAAATGTAAACAAAATTCTAAATAATAAAGAAACATGAGAAAACATCTCGAAAGAAATTGCTCTCCAGATAATTTTGGAAGTAATTCTGCATTATATGATAGTTAGCTTGTAGCTAGCCTTTTAAAAGTCGGTATCTTACGTTAATAAATACCAAATTTTGCACATTATATTGTAGTTGGTTTATAGTCAGTCTACTTAAGTAACAAATAAAATTCATAA